TTGGCTCTGTCCCTCCCCACTCCCGCCCCCACCAGAGGCTTCTCCCCAGGACTTCTATCAACATTTTCCCTCTACCGAGCCAACTCCACGGACCCTTCCTGCGCGGACCCCACGTCCTCCGGAGGACTTGCCTGCGCTGCTAGATGCCTGTCCCTGGGCACCTCCGGGTTATGTACCTCCTGCTGGCCCCGCCTCCTCGGTCCCCTATGCGCCCTGGACCGCGGGCCGCCCCACGCGGCTGGTCCCCCGTGGCCACTTGGTGGCTCAGGTATCCCCTGCACCCCGGCGGCCCAGCCACGTCCCGCGCCGTCAGTTCAGTGTGGAGAAGCTGCCCGAGGGCTTCAGCGCGCAGCCTGCCACCTTTTACAGCAGCGTGGGCAGAGGGCCCCGGCACTTGAGCACCAACAGCAAAGCTGAGGTCACTGTCTGAAGCAGAACCACTGGAGCCTTCTGTAGGGTCCCGGGCCGTGGCCGTGGAGTGGCAGTGCTGGCTTCAATCCAGATGGGACTGGGATATTTGGAGCCTGCGGCTAAGGGGGCCAAAAGGGTAGGGCCAGGTATTCTGTCCTTGGGAATGTAGGGCTATCCTTACCTGTGTAAATAAACCCTCTAATGTAGTTCCTGTCCCAAAGGATCATCAGTAATTGACTGTACAAGACAGCAGTGCAGGCCGGAGAGAAGTGGCCAGAGAAGGTGGCTGGGTTGAATGCCAAACATTGCTCAGAGCACAGGGAACTATAGAAGAGAGCAGGTACCTTATCAGTCATCTTAAAGTCTGGGTTCAGGGGAGAAGGCCTGTTGGACCCATGTGGGGGTCCATGAGCTCTACTAGAGGCTAGCCCCTCCCCACCCTGCAGCCAATCTCTCACTCAACAGTTTGAGTTAGCTCAGCCTGGCTCATCCTCATAGACATAGTCTGGCCTTGGGCCGACTCCTGGCTTGCAGGCTGCTTGGCCAGATTGGCCCAGGGCCACCCCCCTAATGGGTGTGGGCCACATGGACATCTGGTGCTCAGGATAGAGGAGCCTAGCCTCCTCCCAGCAGCCGCCACGGGGTTAGGGGGATGGAGATGTTGGAATGTGAGCCTAGCAAAGCCCCTCCCTTGGGGGTGCTCCCGCTGCACCAGGTTGGCACTGCCAGCTCTCTCCCCCTTCCTGACAGAAGCTCCCAGTACCTGGCTGAGGTCCAAGGTACTGTCATTGCCTCTCTGCATCTTCCCCAAGTTCCTCAGTTCCAGGTTCTGGTGTGTGGGGATACCCTAGCTACAGCCAGGTGAGGTATTTGCCTTCCTGTGTTCCCAGGGGTGGCGTACCATTTGTTCCGTCTCATATCTAAGGGACCCAAGGGGGCTGTCTGCAGATAAGGAAATTAAGGTTTTGGGACCTAAGTACCTTACCTAGGGTCACTCAGGCCACCTGCCATGTTGATGCAGGCCTTGGCCGTGCCAAGCATGACACTTCTGCTCAAGAGCCTTGTATGTTCATTGGGGCTGGGCTGAGACCAAGGTCCATGATCACTACGGAAATGCTGACTTGAACCTCAGAGATGCTCAAATGAATCCTCTGCAGTGAAATCGGCTGTCCGTACCTTTCAGGGTGTGGTTCAGGGTTGTTCCTCAGCGAGATGAGCAAGACTCAGCCACACACTAAACAGTTGAGCCTCAGGCTCATTCTAGATTGAATAATCCACTTTACCTCTTCCAAACACTGCATGTGGTCTTGCCACCCACCCACCAGCTTCACAAAGCCATACACTGGTACTTCACTCTATTCTGAACAGTAAGCCTGTGGAGCTGAGGTCAAAGGCAGGGATTAGCCATCCCATTCTGCATAATCAAGTGGAGGTAAGAGACCAGTTCAGAGAGTTACTCTGCTGGGAAACACAGGACCTACATACTTGTATGTGGCCATCAGCCGGTGAGCTGTTTAGGAGGACCTGTTCCCAATAAGTGGAAATGAAGAAGTGGCCCACCTGATGGAGGAATGACTTTATACCGCAAGTTCCAAAGAACTGCTACTGTCAACTAGCCAGCCAGCTGAATGGCCAAGCAAAGAGCTGGAACCTGGATAACAGCTCTTTTATCCCAGACCCTCACCCATCTCTAGAGTGTGTTGGGTAGGTCTGTGGCAAGGAAGGACCATCAGACTACAGCTACCTGGCTGTCCTTAGTCCCTAGCTCACTGCTGGCCAAGTTATGCAGTCATTTGGTTAATCACTGTAAAGGTCATACTACAGACTCACACAACCTTGTGTTAGGTGGTACCAATCTGTGTTTATTGAGTAACCTATGTCCAGCACATGGTGAATGTTGCAACATCAAGGAAGACATAGGTATATCCCCTGTTCAGTGAAAAACCACCCTCCCACCCCCAACAAAGAGAAAAGGCACAGTATATACACGAGACACAAGGGCTGGGCTGCCCCATCAGCGGGACCATAAATTACAGTGATAGACAGGATAGGACAGGTGGGGACCAAGCACAGGAAGGGCCCACCCCTGCCTACTCTCTGCTTCAACCAGCTTAGAGGGATGAGAAGCACAAGGAAGGTTCCTCGCAAGTCTCCCAGGAAGCCCTGAACCAAGCAGTCCAGAAAAGCAGGACCACTCTCTTCCTAGGACTCCCCCATCTCAAGGCAGGAGACCTGATTCCTGCTGCCTACCCTGAAAAAAGAGAGGCTTGCTGCTGGGGAGGGCTTGGACCAGTGTCTGTCACCCTGGCCTATTCACAGGCAGGAATTAAGGATAAAAATACACTCTATGGGAGGTAGGAGTTAGGCTAGGGGTAGGAAGGAACAAATAAATCATGCTGAAGACCCCTGGATCCTAGGTCCAAAGGTGGCTTCATCCTATCCAGCCCCTTGGGCCTACCCTGAGCTCAGGTTGCCCTCTCAGGGGGTGGAGGAGTGGGAAGGAACAGGACAATTAAGTAAGATACCATTTATTTTTTAAAAAATTAAAAAACAATGCCAACATTATTTCATCCATCCCAAGACCTGCCCTTGCCTCCCACCCACCTCCCCAGGACTGGGCTCCCTTCCTTCCCTGGCTGTCCCTTGTGATGATGAGAAAACAATGAACAGGCTTAGTCAGGCACAGTGGAAGGAGTGCAGACCCAGGAGAAATAAAGATGCCACAGCAACTTTGCCCTGTATTGTGACAGGCCCAAGCACACATATAAAAACATTTGTATAAAAGGGGGCATGCCAGATAAGTCCAGAATGCAAAATGTTCTCTGGTGCACAGAGACCTAGTTCCCAGAGAAAGCCTGATAAAAACAAAACATAACAAAAAAAACAAAGAGGCAGAAAGTGAGACACTCAGGTCTCCAGAGGGCTGGGGAAGGGGCTTTGGCAGCACCCTATGTTGCTTTCAAGTGAGGAGATCACCCCATTCCTGCTCAGGCCACTTTTCTTCTCAGCCCACTTGGGCTTAGACCATGGACATTTACCACAGCAGTCTTAAGGAGACTTGCCCATGGTCCTACTGGGCTGAAATGATCCAAAAGCCTTGGCAGGTGACAACTCAGAAAGTCAGTCTTGCCTTCATCCTCACAACTCTTGGAGAAGGGAGAAAAACAGATGGGGAGACAGTCTGAGAGACAGAGGGAAGATCCTGGGAGAAAGAGACAAAGGTGGAAGGAGGTAGACCAAGCCCCATACGTGGTCAGGAGGCAGCGATGGCAGTGCCACCACCCAGCTTGACAATCATCTGCTGGCAGTCATTGCAGGAGCGTCGGTCACCCACCTTCTCCAGGGTGCGGGCAGCTTCAGCCAGCAGCACTGCCCGCTGGCCTGGGGAAGACAGGAAAGAGAGGGGAAGATGGCGGCAGGCCAGCAGGATGGCAGTAGCTCGCTCTCGTTGCCCAGGCCAGGTGTCTATCTCTCCTGTGGGAATGAGATTTATGTAAGAACTGTCCCAAGGATTTTGTGTGGCCTCATTAGTTGAACCCACCCCACCCCCTCCTCCTGTGAAGAGTATGTTCTGCTTTCTCCCTAGTCTTCCTCACACAGGACAGAAGATGAGCTGGGCAAGCATCCCATCCAGCCACTGTGTGGGCTGATACTTGAACCCATGCAACTTCCACCCTGCTTCTGCACTGGCTGGCACTCTAAGAATCATTCATGACTACCCAGCTAACACCACTCCTGCTGCCCACTGAGTCAAATGTGTATGCAGAGCACACTGCCAGATGCCAGGGCTCCATCCTTCCTGCTCCCACAAGTGCAAGGCCACACCAGGCCTGCAGCAAGGGAGCTACTGGACTCACCATGCTTGGTGTTCTGACTGGTACGCCGCCGTAGGCTATGCTCCAGCAGCTGGTGCGTCCGGGTGGGGCTGGCTCCTGCCATCAAGCGCACAGTGGCTTCATGCAGGAACACCTGGCAGGTCCAGGGGCCTCAGTCAAACTCTTGGGTTCTGGCCTGTCTACCCCAGTGAGTACTTCTCCTCCAGCAATCTCCTCTTCTCCCTGATGCCTCCCTCTTTTCTCCAGACTACCCCACCCTTCTTAATCCCGGAAAGCAATGTATCTTGTCCTCAAGCCAAGCTAGAAACCTAGATGAACAGCAGGGATGGGGACAGAGCACAGGCCAGCCGCTGGGCAGGAGTAGTACTAGATGAGCCAGAGGCAAGAGGCAGCTTGTCATGCTGGCAACAAAGCCCTGAGGTACCCTCTGGGGTTTGCAGGGCAGTTTGAGTGAAACCTTGTCCTTGAAGGCTGTGTCCCAGTCATACAATGGACAGAGGAGAGAGGGATGAGGGAGAACAGCTAGGTTGGTATCAAGTTCAATATCTTATTTCTTCAGAAAGGAATGGAGTCTAGACTCAGTCTTATTTGGCCCTACAGACACAACTGATGGAACAAAATCCACTCTAGAAATAACATTATTTTTCATCTCTGGTGCTGTTTTCTGAACACACATTTCTTTTTATTTTATTTTATTTTATTTTATTAGTTCAAATTAGGAACAAGCTTGCTTCATATGTCAATCCCTTCTCCCTCTCCCTCTCCCTTTCCTCCCCCCCCAACATCCCACCTGCCCCCACCCCGCCCCCCCCCCCCCCCCCCCCCGGGCAAGATACCACATACAAGAAATCTCATTTTATGTTTATGATTTTCTTTCTTTCTTTTTATTTTTTCCTTTTTGAGACATGGTTTCTCTATGTAGCCACAGCTGTCCTGGAACACACTATGTAGACAAGGCTGGTCTAGAACTCAAGAGATTCACCTGCCTTTGCTGCCTCTGCCTCCTGAGTGCTGAGATTAAAGACACACCACTACACCTGGCTCTTGAGTTTATGATTTTCATTGTTCTCTTTGGTCACAGGTGGGCTGTAGGTTGATTGGTCAGACCTGGGACATGTTTCCTGGGATAAATCAGCAGCTCTTTTTTTTGTTTGTTTTTTGTTTTTGAGAAAGGGTCTCACCG